AACGTGGAGGGTTTATGGTCCATCCTCCGTAATCATCCATAAGGAATGCCCGAACCCCTGCAGTAGGGATGTAAAAAAGCTGATGAGGATGACTCGGTATGTGCCTAACAAATAACTTTATTATACTTAACTGTAGAGACTAGCACTAATTGTTAAATTACGAGCGCTATGAGTAAGTCGCCAAATTCGGTAAAATTGCGATCGCAAACTCTGTTGAACTGCAGTCCCAGGTGACTTGATTTTTATCCCTTAAGATAAGGTATGTACACCGTTGAGGTTTTGGTGGGAAGGCCTCCAATGATAGAGAAGAGTCCTGCGCACTGATAGGACAGAATTATAGAAAATAAAAAGGTATCTTGGAGATCTTACTCTAAAATGATGAAATCGCTTCTTTACTATTTATGTGTACCAATCACTTAAATAAAGCGGTAGCTTAATTAATGTAATTGAACGATAATTAACTTAATTTATATAATAGTCCAATTAGTTTACGTTTCCTGTCATTGTCAACTATGTTATTGATAAAGAATTATTTATTTATTATTATGACAGAGACTCGTTGTCATGACAATTTAGCTACTTAGAACTATCTATATACAATATTACATTTGTAATATTTAAAATATCACTTTCAGTCGGCTGACACAATAACCGTGTAAACCAGCTCTTCGTGAAATGCTTAGAGTAACGTTCTTATATCGTTTGCTTTAAGTAATACGATATAACCAAAATCTTTAACTGCAGTTTGATTATGAACAAAAATTGAAGACAATTTTTACTACAATCTACTAACTGGAAAATACAATCAATAATTGGAAAATAATATCGTTTTAAATCATATATTCACCGAATAACTCCCACTGCGGTTTTAAAGTATATAGCGATCGGGTTTGATTCCGGGTCGGTTAAATATAGAAAAAAATAATTAATTTTGACAAGGTTGTGTGATAGTTTGGTTGTTTAAAATTTGCATAGTATAAGTGGCTTAGCTACTTAAATCGGGATCCAAACAAGTCACGTGATGTTTTTATAGAAATAAAAATAAAATTACCTATGAAATTCTACTATATTCTATTTTTTGTCGTATTTGTACATGTTTGTTTACGTATTGTTTGTTTATAATAGACGTTATTTTCTGAGCTACAGGTTCAAGCAATATCAATAAGTGATCAAGTATATCACATCATTTCGGAAGTACGCGAAAACAACAATACGTCATAGTATAAAATATATAAACTGTGTTTCCAACAGTCCACATAAAGCTCATAATAGCTCATTAAAAATACAAAATAAAATGTAATAAAAAATTAGATAACTACATTATAATTCAGAACGAAGCCACTAAGGCGTCAGCTTGAAATTATAAAGTTTTCTCGACAAAATCCATTTACAAAGTTACTTGTAGTGTCTATTAATTTCTTCTTATAATATCCTTCTTTATAGTGAATATTGATAAATATCTAAGGCTCTTTGTAGGCAAAGACTGGTAAGAGCTATTTTATAATATCAGAAAAGCGTGTTACTTGTTGACTTGAGTATAATAGGGTTGACAATTGGGTAAAAAAAACTATTTAATCCGTCAGTCTGATGATAGAAAAATATTAGACAAGTATTTCTTTAAGTTTAAAATAACAAAAAAATAGCTTAGATAACAAACATTAAATTTGAAACTTCCCAAGTTAAAGGTGGAACACAGCGATATATAAAATTATTTGTTGTATTGTAATCTTAATTTAGAATGACAAACAATATCTTTCGTATGACTGAGTTTTCTTATTGTGAGGAAATTGTGTCAGATGTATCTCTCCGATTAGGGTTACCAGGCGTAATAGGCCATAAAGGCGGATATAGTTAGGATTTTTGATCGTTCGTCCGGCCAGAATAAACGATGCCGCCTATGTCCCATTTTTGTTAGGCTTTTAACATTTGAGTTATTAAAGTTGCTCGATATAAATATTTTATTCTATTTTTGGCAAATTAACAAAAAGCTTGGTATTTACGATTTTTTTTGTCCTAAGATTCAAAATCCTCCATAATGTAAGGGTGTCCAGCCTTTTTAACCAAATATCTGGCCAAACTGGCTGGACTGTCCGGCTTTGGCAATTTGGCAACTCTGGCTCCGACTGGCGAGCGACGGACGAATTTATTTGACTCTCTCCTTTTGTACGACGAACTAGATAATATAACATCAGCGATATTATTATTTTTTCACAAATCTGCCATATATACCTTTTTATAATATATATTTACTAGTAATTCTTTACGGTTTTATTTATATTCAAAACACACCGTCAGTCACTCATGTCCAATATTAACGTTACTCTGAAAATTCATAATTAATAACTTAATAACAGAGACCAAAGGCTAATGTTATGTAATTCAAATTGGGCTTATAATATTTGAACAAAATTCTATATTCCCAGGCTTAACTTGTTAAAAATTCATGCAATTTTCGGATGAATATTCGGTTATGTTGGCAAACTTTATCCTCGCAATTAATTCTCATACATTTTGTGGCTTCGACTATGTTTTTATTATTTTATTTAACCACAATCTACTTAAATGTTTGTAATAAAAAGTAATAAAGCTAGTTCTGTAAAATAAAATCTAAAGCTTGTTTATTTATGAATTTGAAAAACATTAACATATTTGCTGCAAGCAAAATGTTTCCCTTATAATTTACAAGCTCGTGACCACGCAAGCAGTGTTTAAAATTCTTGGCATCACATAAGCGACTTATGCGTAACTTTTTACGAATAGGACATAGTAAAATTTTCGGCAGTGCATATTATAAGGGAGTAAGGATCAATATAAGGGAAGAGTAGCTCGGTGGCGTAATAGATAAGCGCCGCGGCCCGCGATCGCAGTTATTAAGCAACTTTCGCAAGGGTGGGTCACAGGATGGGTAACCAAAAAATTAGCTGTTGGTCACGTTAAGTCGTTGGTTTGCAGTCGTTAATACCCTCCAATCCGCATTGGGCCAGCGTGGAGGGTCTGGCCCATCCTCCTTAACCATCCATAAGGAAGGCCTGACCCCTGCACGGGGGACGTAAAAGGGCTGGTGATGATGATGATGAAGGATGAATATTTCAATCATAAATATAATATGGTTACATCGAGTCGGAAACTTCTAAGTTTGTAGCCACTGAATATTCACTTAAAGAAAATTCTACGTGATATACACGAAATTATTCAAGGTAGATTTTGAGAAAATATCATACAAATTATTGCTTCTTCCAAATTGTTATCATCTAAGTTAACAGGGAATATAAATAAATTTTAATTATTTTCCGTGATCAAACATTTAGATGCTTAACTTAATGATAGCTTAAAGAGGTTGCATGATAACAAGTGCACGATATTAAATCCTTTATAAGAACGAAACCCTAAAAATCAGCCTGATATTACATCTACTGTATCGCTTTGTACTATGTAGTTACTTCGACATATTTCCAACGAGGCGTCTGGCGCAGCTGTCACCTCCCGAGTTTCGTGAACGGTTTTCGATACCGTATCGTAACCATATACATGTACATTTAATATCAGAATTCTCACCAAAGTTTCGTCTTACAAACATTCCTTGGGCTTCGCTATTCACTTCAGTACCAACACTAAATACGAGGCTATTGACGACAGGAATTTGAATAAGTAGGTCACTTATTGGTTTCAGAAGTTTCATGCGTGAAAATCGATCTGGATTGTGTTTCAGAATAAGTGGCTTGATTGAGTGGCTTATTTGGATAATGACGCTTCTGGGGTCTGGGGTCGTAATTTTGTTTTTATTTTTCTTGGATTTAAACTCTGCATGACTGATTGTATCTTAACTAAAAGAAATTATCAAACTTTTAAATAGACCGAATATCCTAGTTCTAACGCTAAGCTTTAATTTTTTAGTTATAGATATTCTGCGTGGATTTATTGTTGATCACTTAATTTTCCTAATTTTCAGTCACTTTCAAATTATTCTTTTCTTAAAAATAATTTGAAAATAAATGTAAAGATAAACCTTAGTGTTTTCTTACACTGTTACTTACTTGTTAAAAGTAAAAATTATTAAGAAGAAAAATATTTGTTTATATCATTTTCACGTTTAATAAATAAAATTAATAAAGTCATCCATAATATTTATGTTAATTTATTAAAGAGGAAAGATTTATTATTTATTTCTTTGCATAGTATAGGCTCCGAAATTACTTGACTGATTTAAAAAAAAATCACCTACGGTAAACTACATTTTTTTTATGCTTGATAGGCAAGCATATTATATATATATATTTAAACTTCAATTGACGTTGGCCATAATTTATGCAAACTCGCAGAAAAATAGCTAGTGTAATACCTATATAATTATGTCAAAACATTATTTTGTAGCAAATAATGTCGAAATATTATTTTGTAGCAACTCGGTCAAAATAATAGAGATATTAGAAATATAATATTCTAACTAAGGTTTTATTTTACATTATTTTGATGTAAAGCGAGAACTAAAACGAAGATTATATCAGCGAAAATGGAATTCCAAGTAAACGAATTTACATGCAATAGTGAATTCTCCGCTAACCCTTTTTGACTCATTCTAAGAGTTTATTTTGCAATGGTGTAATCTTGCAATTGTATTTTATTTTCCGTGAAATGATTAATTATTATATTTACAATTTTATAAGTAAATTATTAAAAGAGTAAATCGTAAATGTATGAAATATTTAGTCAAATAGAAATATCTAGTTTTACACTTAATAAATATTCTTAAATATAATATTAACCAAAGATATAAATGAATATTTTTATAACATTTATAACATATATTTTTCAAAATATACTTTTAATATAGTTACTTTTAAACGTCAAATCGTTTACTAACATCAAGTACATTATTTCTGATGTCCTAGTAGGAAATACAAATTATTTAATGATACTACTCATATTGATAATGATGTTGAGCATGATACTGCTACTATGAGAATATAAAGTCATTGTATTATCGTCGTCTATAATTTAAGATCTAGTTTATAAAATAGACTATGGCAATATACGTTACTTCAGTCTTTATTTGTAAAACATGCGTGTGTTGTGTTTTGTGATTCTTATATCAATTTGTGCAAATGAAGCGGCGAGGATATTTGCCATTTTTCCTACACCATCTATAAGTCATCAAGTGGTATTCAGACCTTTAGTACAAGAATTAGTAAAACGTAACCATGAAGTTGTTGTTGTCACCACAGATCCAGCATTCCCCAACGGTCAAGCGCCCGCGAACCTAACTGAAATTGATGTTCACGAATTTTCATACAAACTTTGGAGAGACAAATTTTTAGAAGTCAGTTCAAGAGGTGACAATGATATTTTTTCCCAATTAAAAGTTGGTTTTAAATTGATCTCTAAAATCTTCGGAGAACAAATGCTTACAACTGAAGTGCAAGAAGTTATTAAGGATACAAATAAAATATTTGATTTGGTACTTGTTGAAGCATTAGCTAGGCCAGCATTAGCATTAAAACATGTACTTAAAGTGCCACTAATACAAGTGAGTTCTTTTGGTGCGGTCACTGGTAACTACGAAACTATTGGGGCACCAGTGCATCCGATTCTGTATCCAACAATCTTAAGGCAAAGGATTTATAACCTCACCTTCTGGGAAAAGGTTACAGAGTTATACAACCACTACAGAATCAACCGTTTTTATGACAGTATTGAAGAAAGCGAAAATAATATGATCAGGAACATATTCGGTGAAAATATTCCTAGTTTATCAGAGCTGAGTTATGATGTGGATATGATATTTTTTAATATGAATCCCATCTGGGAAGGCAATCGACCTGTACCTCCTAATGTAATTTACATGGGTGGATTGCATCAAAAACCTGTTAAGCAGCTACCTCAGGTAATATTATTTGTTTTTTTTTTCTATTTTTTTACCCATTTGAATGATTTTTTTACTAAAATAAAATACTATTTAATGAAGAAATCGTTAGCTAGAGACTAATTGTTAGATTTAATATTTGTAATACAAAATACGAAATTTTAATTGATGTAAGCTTTAATTGATGACAAAAGATCATGTTTGCTTTCTTATGATTTCAGTTAGAAATCATAAGAAAGCAAACATGATCTTTTGTTTTCTTCGATGACTTTATTATTTTGGGCATATTACAAAAAAATTTTTGGACAAATACAGCTAATTTCTTGCCCTATAAATATCATTAATAATGTTTTGTTCATAAATCGGTGATAATCTAACTAAAGGATTCCAAATTTTAAGATACATTATATCTTACTCATATTATAAAGGCGAAAGTTTGGATGTTAGTTACTTCTACACGCAAAAACTACTGAACGGATTTTTATGAAATTTTGTATACAGATTAAACATATGGGATACTTTTTATACCACTAAAAAGTTTCCTAGGGACCACGGGAGCGAAGCTGCTGGCGGTGACCTACTCTTTAAATAATGAAATGAAAGTTTTTGACTTTCATACACTTAGATATTATTGTATCTTACAAAACGCAACTGTATTTTTTTATTAATTTACCGCTTCATGTTATTGTTTGCGCCACTTCAGGCCTATATCCGTCGTAAGTATTGACCAGAAAATGCCTGCCCACATAATGTCCGGGTCGCAATGACAAAGCGAATCCTCCGAATAAGCTATTATAATATATAACTAACCGCGTATAAAGCTGAAGGCGCCAGTTGCGTTCACAAATGCGCAATATCTTATGTGATCTCTGACTGAATCTATTCGGGAATAATATCCAATAAAATAAGAATAAAGAATCAGTGAACCTTGTAAGGAGGAATAAATGCTTAATAACTACTACATTGAGGTCACAGACGCGAAGAAACCGTTTGGGTTAACAAGACTGCGGTATGTTATTTTCTTCTGGAAAATAAAAATGGTATACACAATTTATTGAAATAAACTATAATCATTATCAAATAACCTTATTGACATTGTGCCAGGGACAAAGTGGATTTTTTAAGCATTTTTATTAAGAATATTTTTCAACACAGAATAAATAGAACGAAAATTTCCAAATTTTTCCTTATATAAAAGTCGATAGGACTATTAATAATACTATCCCACCTCAGAGTGCCAGGCAGCCATATCATTGTCATAGAATAGAGGACAAAACAATAATGAATAATAATTAACAACTCCGGACTTAATTTTCAGGATTTATTACAAATAGTTTTATTATAAAATGTTAATAAAGGAAAGAAAAATATGATAATCATTTACTAGACTTAAGTCCTTGAATGTGGGAAAGTAATTGTTATCACTCTTATCAGGGTCAGTGTGTGACAAATATTATCAGTTAACAGTACACAATACACACACTTTAAACTTACGATTTCGTTGCTAAAAAACCTAAAATGATCTCTGTATTATCATATATTTCCAGTAACAACGTACGTCCACCTAATATATAAGCAGCTCAAGCTACAATGGTCAATTTTCGTCTGACCCCATTCTCGCTCATCCCAAAGTTAGGAGTTTGTTCCACGTATGGTGTGCATAACATGGGCATAACATATGTCTTACTAACTTCCACAAATGGGCCGTAAAAAGTTAAGCGTGCAACATATAACAAAATTACTGACACACTGTACACTTTAGGTGAAAAAGAATAAGGATCTTTTTTGTTTAAATTGTCGTTATGCATAGCTGTAAATATTGGCTGTGGGAAATATTACCGATATCGGTAATGAAAAAGTTTTTGGAGTTATAAAGCCAATGTGTCAAGTTTTGTGAATTCTCACAAAATCCTTCTATTCAGAGTGATATAAAAATTTAGAAAATTATTACTGATTCATATATCTTTTTAGTCCCTAAATTTAGTGTATATTACATCATTTATGTTCACTACCTTGCCTTTGGCCTTGAAAATAAGTTTACTGAAAACAAAATGGCTGTAGCATACCCTTCCTTGAAGCTATAAGGGCTATTTTATGGAAAAATAGGATCCGCAATTTTAATAAGCCGCTCATTTCCTTTCTCGTTATTTGTCTTGTCATTTAAATTTGACCATTAAATTGTGTGTTGTCGCATAATAATTGCCCTAAAAGTACTTGGCCGCGGCATACCTACAATTTTAGCGTGCCATACCTAGTTTTTAATAAGAACAATAAATGGCGGCTTGTGTTAGGCCAGCCCTTTCATAAACTGTACTGATACTGATATCGAACCCAACGTATTTATTATTAAAGTAATAAAGCCACACAAATACAATCATTTACAAACTTTAAAGTTAAGTAATTAGTTATTTTTTATTAGTTTCTTTTATTTTCTTTACTTATTTGATTGTTTGGATGATACTGTATATTGAAAAAAAACATTGTGTAGTTTTAAGAAACCACGACACAATTGAAACATTTATTGGATTGTAGTAGTCGGATTGTAGACGTTCAACTGATTTTTTTTTTAATCATTCGATATAAGGTAACACAATCGCGTTTTTCATCTTAACCAATTTAACATAATAATTGGAGAATGACAATAGGAAATCAATAGCATACAAGATATCTAATTATGAATTTTTATTTCAATTCGCACGAAAAATATCATAGATACAATTATTAAGATGATAGACATCTGTTACACATGTTAAAACACACATATTTTACACATGTTTCTTTTCCTTTTTTTGCTTTTTTTTTTCGGCGGTAGGCGGGAAACACGAAAAGTTCGTTCTCCTATAAAAATTGTAAAAAAAAATACTTACAATTACTAAATTTCATAATTTATTCAATTTTCTGATTATATTTAAAGCACTAATCACTATCTTACGTTATCTAATCAAATAGTACATGAATACTTAATTGTGCTTTGATATACTGTCTTGTCGGTTATTCAATTCACTTCCACTGGTGTATTTCTCAAATGGCGAATATAACAGCAGTTTTGGAGACACAGCATGCACTAGAGACCAGACTATTCAACAAGATGAACGAACTGGAGGAACGGTGGAAGGCAACTCCTGCACAGACTGATAGTTCGCATACTCGTCTGCAAGAGGAATTTCAGGGGTTCAAAGTTGAAATGTTGTCTGTACTTCAACTTCTTCGTAGTCAAGTCTCAGAGCTCTGCAGATCCGTTGATGATTTAGAAATGCGACATCGAAGAAAGTATCTGCTAGTGGGCGGCATTCCTGAAGATACCAATAATGATCTTCCTAAAGCCATTGTCAGTGTATTTGTTAATCAAATGGGGCTGGCTTTGACACCCGAAATGCTCACTGTTTGCCATAGACTTGGCAGTGCGGCTGAGGGAAGATGCAGACCTGTGTTGGTGCGTTTCAAGGAGCTTTCCTCAAGGGCTTCTGTCTGGCATAAGAAGACTACGTTAAAAGGTACAACACATACAATCTCCGAATTCCTTACTCGCCAGCGCCGGGACGTATTCATTAACGCGCGTAAGCGATTTGGCATGAGAAGATGTTGGACCATGGATGGAAACGTCATAGTTAAATTAAAAAATGGTTCGAGACAGCGTATATACACCGCATGCGACCTCTCTTCGCTCTCAGCAACTGAAGATGAGTTCCACCAGACGATTGATCCTGGCCCAGCGGCGCAGGCCTCAGCTTCTCCGGCTTCGCGAGGAAAACTTAGACGGACAGCCAGGGCGAAAAAGTAATCGTTTCTTCTTTTATTATTATTTTTTTTTTTACTCCGGTTAATAGAAATTTCTTTTTAGTTTACTACCTACAACTAACACTAATTTATCTGTTGTAAGATTGTAAATATTAAAATACCTTGGCACTAATCACAAATAACCTAGCATTAAATTTGTAATTTCACGTTATTGTCAGTTTTGTTGTTGTTATATATTTTTTATGTATAAGTTGAGTTTAATCGCCCTGTCTTCCAGCATATTAGCTTACGAATCGATTTTTAATCGATTTTTTTTTCTTGTTGATTTGTTTTCCTGGGTTTTTCTCTCTCGTCAGCCGGCAGGACAGATATTATTAATTTAATACTAATTTGATCGTAGTTTATTTATATTTATATATTATATTTTGATTTAAATTTTATACATATAACTATTAATTATTATGTCTGATGATGATTCTTTTCATTCAGCTTTTAATGACAGTATTTCTCCTTGTGATAGCTTTATCTCACAATCTGAACCAGAGACTTTGGGTACTCAACTTCACAATATTTTTCAATGCTCTCCCCATTGCTTCAATGCTTGCCATATAAATGCTCAGAGTATACCCTCCCACTATACAGATTTTCTCACTACATTTGACGTGCATAACATTCAAGCCATTTTAATTTCAGAAAGTTGGCTTAAACCCAGTCTTTCCTCTTCGTCTGTTTCATTGCCAGGGTATACTTTGATCCGTAATGATCGCATTGGTAGGCGTGGTGGGGGTGTTGCTATATACTTGCGCAGCGACATAACTTACAAAGTTTTGATCTCGTCACCTTCAACTTACTCTTTTTCTGCCGAGTATATCTTTCTCAAGGTCTCTGTTGGGGGATCTAAGGCTGTTCTTGCGGTCGTTTACTGTCCACCTACTGTTGATTACATTTCTAACCTTGAGTCTATTCTGGAGCCGCTGTGTTCGGATTACAGGCATCTCATAGTCATGGGTGACTGCAACACTGATCTTTCTTGTTGCACTTCTCAATCTGCTAAAGTCCGTCGATCTATCAATTTTGCCTTCCGAGCCGACTCACCATAATCCTTCTTCACGCGACACATGGCTTGACTTGATTATAACAATTCCCGACAATGTAATTAACCATGGTCAGTTACCTGCACCTGGCTTTTCAAAACATGACCTTATTTTTATTTCATACAGGTTAAAACCACCTAAACTAAAGCCCACATCTGTCTGGATGCGTAGTTTCGCACGACTTGACCT